AACAAAAGGTCCCTATAACATATACATACACCTATATATCGGAAGTTATCTTACCTTTTTCCTATAGTTATCCATTCATAAAAATGATATTTGTTCGTTGCTCGTTGAGTTTTACTGGTTGGGAATTATAACAATTCCTCCAGTTCTTTTAATTCGTTGTTTTTGACTCTCACTCGCACTTTAACGGTTACTGCTACTAAATACCGATACCGTTAATTTAATCCATAGCCTAGTAACAGATGCTGTTAGTGTTACTTCTTGTATCTTGTTGTTATTGCAGCCGTTGTTGTTGGTATTTCCTTTGTTTGTAAGGAAAGCAGACGCAACAGCGACGACGCTTTCCCGCAGGACGATTTTCCACCATTTTTTTGGGGGAACCTGCGAATTTGCCCTCAGAAGTTTTTCTATATATCTCTGATTCCGTTTTCGCCTCCTTCGTCTTGATTTGCCCTATTCCAATGGGTTAGCAGGTTTCTTAAGGCATTTTTTTGTTGTTGTTGCTGTAGGCGTTCTGCTTTTATTTAATGATTTCTCTACTTCCTGATTTCTTTCACTGTAACAATTTCTTTTAAATTCATTCCTTTGATGTTCTTTTCCTCCTCCTCTTCTTATCTTCTCCTCCTTTCCTTGTTGTTGCTGTTGTTTTGTAAATGGACGTTTTGTTGTTGTTTGGCTTACTTTTGATATGTGTATTTGTTTTGTATTAATCGTTGCTTGTTTTGTGGCCTATCTTCGTTGTTTTAGGTTATTTATTGAACGTGGAGGAGCTTAGTTTACTTAACTTCCTGCTCTTATTGTATTTTGTCTGTCCTTTTAGGCTGCTGCTGCTTCTTCCCCATTTCGCTTTCCTTCGCTGCTTTTGCTCCCCTTCTTCTTTGCCAGTCAGCTGTCATTGACAGAGAGAGCGAGAGACAAGAGAAAGCAAGGAAGAGAGTTTTGCGCTCTCTTTGCGCAAACTCTTTGACGTTGGTGTTGTACAATGCAATAATATAATGTCCTATAATCGACGACGTTTATCAAATTGTCCTGTCATCGCCTGAATAAAATCACACAGACACCGAAATAACACAATTGCAATGCCTATTTCCATTGGATTACATTACTCAATACTTGATTTTACACTGTAAGCCACTTTTAACAGTTACGTTTGTGGGACATTGGGCGCGCGCTTTTACAGTTTTTTTTTCAACAAGCGATGACTTCACCGCTTATTTTTACCGGTGATAAACAATTTCGAGGTTATATTATTGTTATATTATTTACACAATTGGCAATTGGCAGTATGGTCAAAAAAGAACAAAATCCGAATTTCGACAGATCCGCGCAGCTACAAGTCTTCTTTTGCACAACTCTTACGCTCTGCCTTTTGTTACGCTGTTTCTTTATGTTCCCTGTGTTCCATTCAGGTTTTAGTTTTTTTTCACCCGTGTTGTTGTTTTTTTCGGGGTTGTTTTCTCTCACTAACTCTCTCTTTCGGGGTCTCTCTCTGAGCTGTCAAGCTTTGCCACCCCAAGAGTTTACAGTTTTAGCATCAGCGCAAAAAAAAAAAAAAAAACAGTTTGAGAGCGATTCAGCCCGCTGTTGTTTTTGTTGTTTGTTTTGCTTGCTTTCCCAGTCGTCTCTTTTCGGTGTTTTCCAACACTGTACAGTGTGCCATGTGCCATGTGCTCGCATTCCACACCCCTCTTTTATTGGGGTCTATTTGCACCCCCAAATCCCCTTCGGAAATCCCTAATTGGCCGCGTTGAGGCATTCCAAAGTGTTCTCATGTTTATATTTCCTCTTTTTAATGCATAATTAATGCGATAGGGGTCGAAAACGAAGGGCTGGGGAACCCTTTTTTTTCAGTTAACAGCCAGACATACTCGGGCGGCAGCTTGTGCTGACTGGAGTTCTATGCAAACGAGTGGGTGGCCGTCCCACCTCTCACCTCTGACCTTGACTGGTTATGGGTTGCCAAAATGTTTACCCAAGGGTAAGCATTTCACTTTTAAACGAATACTGCAAAAGGAGGTGAGGATAACTGGCTAAGTGTCGGAAAAATAAGACAAAACTCTATATTTTGCAATGCATTTTTGATAATCCTACCACTTGTTTTATATTGCAATGCTATTAACACTGCATTTCGAAATTTCTTTATTGATGCAAAATTTTAATAATTAAATTCTACCAATTATTTCTGAAAACACAATTTGTATACCAAAAGAAAGTTTGCCCTAGGCTAAACTCTTTATTTTGTAATGCTTTTTTAAAATTCGTAGCATTTTTTTTTTAATTTTGCAATGCTAGTATACACTGGATTTTTTAAAACTTCTACAATGAGTTATGCTACATTTTGAATAATTAACTGCTACCAAATACAAACAAAAAAAATAATATATATAACAAAGTTTTAGAGCCTCTGACTTATTGTCATTCTTCTTATGGCTTTAAAATAAACCTCATACAGCATTTGTTTCATTAATAATTTTCCTTAGTTTATCAGAAAACATAAATTGTCAATGTGTAAATAAAAGTGAGTAATTGAAATCTGTATCAAAGTTCTATGAATGAACAATAAACAATTGGAAAAGTCGTTCAGAACATTATTTTAGATATAAATATTATTTTTCGTCTTATTAAGGTTTCTTAGCGTTTATACAACACAATTCAGACTGTAATTGATATCTGGTAAAAAAAAAATAGTTTTATATCATCAGAACACTTTTTCAGATATAAATATTCAGTTTCGATATAAGATATTAAGGTTTCTTAGCGTTTATACAATTTGAAAGCCTGCTTAGGTTATTCATTGTTTCTTAAACCATAACCAATCCATACATTTTCCGTAGAAATTCAATTTTTCTCGCCTGCTGGCACCATTAACTTTATGCCGCCCTCATAAACTGGCGCAATGCTCACAACTTGCCACACAATTGGCCCAACAATGGTCCCCTCGTCGTAATAGTTCTAATGAGCTAACCCATTTTAAAGCCCTGCGACTGCAAATTGAAGCATAAGTAATGAGGCTGTTAACGTTTGGGCTGACCCCCCCACCTTCCCCCGAAAAGGAAAAACAAAACCGAAGGGTTGCCGGCATTTAGATGGGGACAAGGCAAGGCAATACATATTGGGGTGGCTACTGCCAGTTTAGCCCGCCCCGTTGGCTAGTTAACATCCACAGGTTTGTACATGAATTTAATCTCGGCGCAAACAAAGTAACAAGAATTCAATTTGTCACAGCGGTTGGGCCCGTTTCGTTCGGTTTCTGTTCCGGCTTTTGCACTACGGGTTTTGGGTGTTTTTGGGTGCGCACAAAGCCAACCGAAACCGTGAATTCGGTGAGGATTCGGCCAAGGAACCAAGGCAAACATCGCCTGGCAACCGTACCTCAAAGAGATAAGCCCATGGCCAAGGGAATGGGAGTTTCAAGTACACAGGAAGAAAAGATCAAGCTCAGAAGGGGTTTTCTGTAGGCAGTTCTTTTAAATAAATAAAACGCGGACAATGTAAAGTGATCAAAAACATACCTTTAAGGCATAGGAAAAGATTTGTTTTTATTTAACTTTATGTTTAGTTACAAATAAACTTAAAAAGGTTTAACAAACTATTAATTTGGTTACACTTTTTCAAAAGAAAAAAAGTGTTAATAATTTTTATTAACTTTTCAAAATGCTGCAGTAAATATTGTCCAACAAATACAAGAACATAACTATTAATCCTTATTCAAGTGCACTTTGTTTTAAAATAAATTTATATTTATATTTATATTTAATGTTCTTTTAAATTAAAAAATTAACAATGTTTTTAATAACCTATGAAAAAAATGTGTTCATTTCTCGCTTTTAGTTATTTTTCAAGTTTAAAGCTGAAATTCCCCAGTATACTACTACTTATTTCGGTCAGTGTAGCAGCAGAGGTTCGAAATGCGAGGGAGTTGGTGGTGTAAATATTTGCATTTCGCTTGTTTTTTGGGGTGTTGCGTTAGGCAAAGCCAAAAGCCTCCGGGGACTTGTTAATGCAAACAATGCGCATTTGATATTGAAAGCATCGACTGAAGAAGCGGGGGCTCCAAAGCAAGGTAATCGGGTGGGGGTGGGGGGGCAGGCTACAGCCTGTGTCCTTTGTCCTGCTGGGGGGTGGTTTTGTGCCCAAGGGCGGCGGGGGGTTTCAGAAAAAAAGGCGGAGTCTGGCAAAGCTCCGCCTCGCTTGCAACCGCACGAACTCCAACGCAGGCCTGCATTAATGTGTATTTCCGGAATGGAGCCCTGGGTGCTACGAGGGGTACGAGGGGTACGAGGGGTACTGAGCGGAAGCCGATTTATGTTTTGTGTTCCGAGCACACGCTGAACAACCCACAGCCCCTTTTTCCTTTCATTAAAAGGAAATGCACTCGAAGATTAAATTTGTCAAAAGTATTCTTTAGCAAATTCTCATCATCTTAAATATTTAAAAATCTTTATGTATATATTATAAATCTCAGTGAAAATAATTATTTTAAATAATTGGTCAATATATGAAAAAAGTTCTTGTTTCAATATGCAATATCCAGAGTTGGGAAAGGTATAAGTTTAATTGGATTCTAGGCAACACACAAGGTATTTCCGAAAATAAGTACTTAGTTAAGGTAAAAGGTACAAAAAAACAAATTTTTTTTATTAAATTTAGTGGTATCAAGCTAATTTGAAAACAAAAATAAATACAAGTATTAATTAACAATTTTTTGCGTATAGTGTTTTATTGGTTTTTCGTGTAGTGTTAGTCTGCCGCTTGAGTTGGTGACAAAATTTCGTTTTTTTTTTCGGGTTCGGTAAATGTTGTGGCCCACAGCTGCTGCCCAACAAGCATTTACTCCACTTCTGCTTTAAAAAAGGGAGTATTGTCATGAAAATCTCTGGACAAACAGCCTTTAAAAACTGCCTTTCAGTTGGTCTGGCATAAACTGACTGTAATATCTGGCTTAGCCTTGTTTTAATTTCACCACCCCTGCTGCTTTAAGGATAAGAAGGATAATGGCTTACCTTATCTTCGGCTTCCTCGGCGCGTTCTTCCGCTTCGATGACGCGCTGTTCCAGCTCCGTTAGCTGCAAGTAGAAAGAAAAGCCCAGAAACATGGTTAGAAGTTACTTAAACGGCGGAAATCATGTGAAAACAAGCGAGTGCCCAAGTCTGACACTTAATATGCAGCCACACATTCAGCTTATTATTTAAAGGGCGAACATTTATTTCTTGTCTAAAGTGTTAATTACATGATTTCAACATGACTAAGCATTAACTAAGGGGTTTGCATTGGGGTTTAAAAGTGCTTTTTTTTAGGTATTTTAGTGCCACTTTTTCTTTAATTCAAAAGTTTCTTATATCATTTTCAACATGATTGTTTTTTACCAAGATTCATAGAAGTTTTTTAACTAATTTCAAAAACACTGAACATTAATTAAGGGGAAATTTATAGGTGTTTTCAAAGCGTTTTTTGTTTACCTATTACGCTCTTTTAAAATATGGATTTATAATTAATTCTTTAGCTATTTTTTATCTAAAAATGTTGTTACATAATTTTAACATGATATTTTTACCAGGGCTTACGGAATGTTTTAAACTGATAGTTGTTTGTTATACTTACAAAATTAAATTGGGAAAGGTGCTTACTGGGATTTTTTATTATTTCTAGCTTCAATTTGTTATCATATTTTGTGATATGAGCCACAGAAAAATTTGGGAAGCTTCTTTTTAGATAAGAATTTTCTAATATACATATTTTACATTTTACATATTTAGCTGGTACTACAACCCAACCATCAACAGTTAGTCAGTACGCACACCTATGACTTATTCACCTTAGCCTAGACATTAACCACGCTTAACAGAACTTCCCAGTATTTTTTGATTTAGTGTGTGTTGAATTGCATTTGAGCCGCCCACAGATGGCGCCACAATGGTGGTTTTTGGGACTCCCTTTTTTTGGGGTTCCGTTTATTTTTGATTTTTTTTTTGTTGGGTTTCTTTATTTTCGGGATTTCTTTTGTTTTTGGGCAGGATACATTTTACCACCCTGCTTTGGCCCAGTGGAAAATCAAGCACCCCCCTGTTATCTGCACAGCCAATCCATCCAGCAATGAATCAATCATAGGAAATGACACACAATTTGCGGTTAATAAGGATAATGCTCTCGCGCGCTGGCTAAAACAATTCATGGCGCTGGCATCCATATTCCTGCACCTGTGCCATTACTATAATGTCGGAGGGAAACTGGCGAACATTAAGCCTAAGCCCCCACTCATCGCTTATCCCGCGCTTTTTGCTGCTTTTTACTGCTGCTCAATGGCCTGTCATTAGCTAAGGTTAAAGGTCATTCTTCAGCCTTCAAGGAATTCATTTCCAATTAATCACGAAAGCAAGCCTGTAACAGGATGAAATGGTGATGGAAAAGCTGGTTAAACGCCGCTAAGGATTCCACTTGAATCGCGCACCCTCGAACTCTTGTCTATTTTGAATGCCTTAAGTGCATTAATTTCCGCTTTTTATGCCATTCAAGTGGCCACTCAGTCAAAGAGGGGGGCGCGTTGGGCGGTGGGCGGTGGGAGTGGCTTCCATTGATTGATGGCTGTCAAATTGTTGTGAAAATATGAAGGAGCCTCGTTCTATATCCATGATGAATGGGGAGCAGCACAAGTGGCGCGGTAAGCTTCCGAAGCGTCAGCTTGACTTGTCGGGAATGGAAACGTGGCTCTGATGGTTTCATATCCCCCACTTGGATTTAACTCCGACTTAACCTTTGTTAAGCATTTAAGGCATTTGTTCACTCCCTCAAAGGGAAACTCAACTGCATTTCTCCACATTAATTAAAATGGAACAGTAAAAATAAATATCTGACTATTGAATTCAAAATTTTAGATTTTACATTATATCACAATATTAAATACAATGCGTAGTAAATTTGACTAATTTATTAAAATAGGCTGTTACAAAAATAATTTGATTTAAATATGAAGTGACGTGAAAGAAAGTTTTTGATTTCAAACTAGTTATATATTTAGAAAAAAACATTTCAGAACCACTAGCGCTTAGGCTTTTTTTTTTTAGAATTCGTGAATTGTAGATGCCAGAAACTTCTTTCAGCAAAAGAACGCAAAAGAATCATCAACTGTTGAGCCATCGGTACCTGGCTGCATCGTATACCCTTGGCCAAAAACAGCTGTGCCAAGATGGAAAAATCATTATAAAACCGGAGAAATCTTCGACTAACTCGCCCAGAAGCAAACAAATATGTGTAGCAATCTGAGCGACTTGTTCGCCTGCATCAGAGTCCAGGGAAATTCGGATGCGGATGCGGATTCGGATTTAAACAGCACCACCCATCAGCGAAATAGCGCAGATGTGGACGATGTGGCACTCGATCCCCAAAGTGATTCGTTTAGACGGCAGCAGCTGCAGTTGCTAATTCAGCAGAATGAGAAGTCCAGGGCAATTCGACAGGATCCACTTCCGTCTCCCACGAACAACAGCATTCGACGGTACGATCAGGTTTTTGGCAGTGCTGCCCAGAGCAAAAACATCAGTTCTAGGCGGAAATTATAATGAAACCTTGATTCGTACACTTGAGAAAACTGGCTGCTCTCCAAAGTACATACAAATAATAACTGTCTATTTATAGGCATGAGTAACAAACTTTCTTTCAACACAACACTTTACATTGTACCACTTCTATTATTATGACCGCAGCTGTATATATGTGGCACAGAAACATTTTAAGTTTTACAAAACGTTTGATAAACGAGCTATATTATTTATTTAAATGTTACCCAAGCTCATAGAATACAAATTCAATTCTTAATTTGACTTTGCCTATCGTTTTAGTTTCATGCGAAGGCTGTATATCTTGCCTTCACCAAGTTTAAGAACTTTAATATTGTGTGTTTTGTTCTGGAGGGGTAAGAATACTATGTTGTGCTGCAAAAGTTGGTCAAACTAATGGATTATATGAGAAGCCGAGGGAGGAGAGAAGGCAGAAAGTTGGGCTCGACTTGCGTGCGTGAAAAGATTGCCGAGGTTTTACCGGATTTGCCAACCTTTTTGCAATCTTCAATCGCTCCCACACTCGCATCGATATGCCACCTGTTTAATCAGAGGCGTTTTGGCCTGCCAATTGGCGACTTAATTGGAAGGAAACGCAATAACAGTCGGCGGCCTTAAGCAGAAACATAGAAACATTTGGCATTAATTGCCGGGGGGTTTACTGTTTCTCAGACTCTCACTTCTGTTTTCCGACTTCAACAAACAACTTTTACAACTTTGCCACACACACACACACGCAGAATCACACGGAAAGGAAAATGTAATTTCCAGGAATGCAATTCCCCGCAACCAAATGGCTCACAATGGGTGCAGCTAGCACCCAAAACTCCCCCCATTCGCTTAACCCCCGGCTGCCGAAGGAGGTGACTTTGCCCATTAGTCGGTTTAGGTGTCGTTTGCCGCGCTGTGTTGCAAAGTTGCCAGCGAATGTCGCACTAAAAGTTGTCTTTCACTCGATTGCGATGTAAATGTTTATAGCGAAAAGGGGCTGCTGAATGCCAAAGTGAAGGGCATGGCCAGATCTTAACTGTGGTTAAGAGCGTAAGAGGTTTCCAGCCCATTCACCTTTAACCGATTGGGAATTGCTTTGCTTCAAATGCGTTTTTTTTTAAGGGCAAAAACTGTGGCATACCATTTAATTGAAACATTTAATTGCAACAAGAAAAATTCTATTTAATATAGAACTGAACATGAAATGTTTCATTAAGTGTTGCGCGTCGTATACGTAATGTGAGTGTAGTTAAATATTACGCATACGTATTGGTTCCCCTTGACTTGGACTAAGATACAAAATATAAACATTTTTGGAGAAAAAATCTTTTGCCTACCATTTTATTGAAACATCTTATTTGATTTAGGCCTCCACTTGATAAGTTTAAGCATGTGTTACGCGTCGTATACGTAATGTGATTTTCATTGTCTTTTTATTTTTATATTCCCCATTTAATTTTATACTTTTTATGCTTTCTAAGGGAAAACTGTTGTGTAACATTTAATTTAATATCGAGAAGAATCCTATTTAAAGCGGGACAAAACTTAAAGTGTTACGCGTCGTATACGTAATGTGACTTATGCTCTCTTATTTCTCTCACTTTTATTTGTTTATATTTTCAACGCTATCGTAAAACATTAATCTATTAGGTATACGTAACACACATTTGAAATGAAAACATTTACTGCTGAATGTACTTTATTTTTGACTTCTGCAAACATTACACGATACAAGCAAGTAATCCTATACCATTGTAACCTATCGTATCACAGCTTTTATCCACTCCACTCCCTCAATGACTTTTGTGGATTTGTTATTACGCCCATTTTTATTGGCTTTCAACTATATGTTTTGTAGTCACCTCATTTGGTTTTTGTTTTGATTGCAAAAAGTTAATTAAAAATTTGTTGTAATTGAATTTTATTGCATTGTTTGTTTGCATTTTGTTTTGTTCAATTTTTTGCTTTTTTTTGCTATGCTCTTTGTTTGAGTTTTGTTGAGTTTTTCTATGTATTTTTGTTTTTTTTTTTGTAGTGCCGGCGTTTTTGTTGTCTGGCCATTATGCCATTATGCCATTTGTTGTCATTTGGTTTTTGCCTTTGGCCCGTAATTGGATTATGGCAAAAAGAGTTTTAATTAAACCAAATGAAGCGGAATCGGTATGGCAGCAGTGAAAAGCTTCTGTGAAAAAAGTGAATCAGATGATGATTTCTGGGAGTCGGGGATCGTCGAAGCCGGAGCCATCATCATCATTACTGCATTCCTGCTGTTCGGGAGCCAAGGGATTGCGGATGATTTCAATGGTAAAAGGCGGCGGCGTAGGCAGTACAACTGCCACAAATTTGGGCGGAATTTGATCAGTTGAGTGGGGAGTGGATGGAAACTCCATCATTCCATCGCCACTGAAACGCCGGCAACCGCAGAGATCCACCAATATGCCCAGAAACATGACTACCACTCGACTGATTTCAGAGTACTGACCATATCCACATAATACTGACCATATCTCGACATCCTCAAGTCCACAATTCTACAAGTCCACACCCCACAAATCCACAAATCCACGAAATCCACAAAATCCACAGCTGCAGCTGCATTCAGACTTGAATTGAGTAATCAAAATGCACAACAAATGGATGGATATATGGATTGGCAGTTCCCCGCAAACCCATCATCATCATTGGTGTAAAAAGCAAATGACAAAATTAATTAAAATTAAATGTCGCTCGTTTGGCGTTGATTAAGGAACGCGATCATGCATAATGCATAATACATTACTATATCATATTCGCTGCATTATGCATTACGTTATCCACTGTCCATATACACGCGCATTTATGTACTTATGCATTTATGTTTGATTCTGTATAGAATGCACATTATAATTACATTTATGCACGGCCATCAAATTCAATGGGGCTAACACATTTGCATAACGAATGCAACGCCCCATTCATTTAAGAATGGTGAAGAATGCAAGGATAGTTGAGTTTTGGAATACTCTTGCTGAATTTTGAATAGATTTGGAGCATATGATCTATCTGATATTGGAAAATAATAAGAACTATATACAAATGTATATATAAAATATGTTTGATTACAAATGTGTGAAATATTTTGAAGAAAGTTATTTAAAAGTACGAACATATTAACAACTTAATCCATTCTTATTAATGTTTTAAAACTACAATTTTGCATGATTTCGGATATCAAACATATTATATTTCTAATATAAATATTTATAACCTATCCTAATTTAGAATATCCTTAAAAAGAGTATAGAAAGTGAATCTAGAACATTAAGTTCGAGGTAAATGCATAGCAAATGGTGCGTGGCACGTTCAACAATTCCATTTTTTCCTGCTCGTTCATGTTTGTTTTTTGCTGTGTCTGTCCCGCTCTCCCGCCATATCGCCATCCTGTTCTCGCACGACGCCTGGCTTTACGGTCAATTTAATTACGACAAGAAGGAGAGGAAGTGCGAGAGTGAGACAGAGAGATTGGAGGGAATGGAACAGGGACAGGGACATGCACCCTGCACTCTGCGATGACAAAAACAATTTGCAATCTCTTAATCAGACTCACTCACTCATTCGCTCTATCCCTTTCCAACTTCACTCCACATTTCCCATCTCCGTCTCTCCTTCTCTGTGATTTTAATTATGCTTAACAAGCGGATGAAGACGAAGACGATGAAGAAGAAGCAGCCGCAGTTGAGGAAGACAAATGAAGGCCATTGCTCGACTTCCACAAGTCTTTTGGGAGAAATTTTCACTCCACATTTCACACTTTATGGTTTCCATTTGTTTATATTCAGTTGGTAACATTATTTAAAGAATTATGATGCTATAATATAAGGAGCTAACTGCACTTCTTTACACAGCTTACTCCTTTAAGGAACAATACATTCATAACAATTTTCACATACGATTTTGTGCTTCAATACATGTTTTTAATGTTTTGGGCTATACTTCTGTTTCTTATTTCATTTACCTTGTTCTCTTTTTATGTATAATAATGTCTGAATTGCTCATAAATGAAGCTTTGTTGGCATAGTTTTCGCTCCTTTGTTTATATGCTTTGAACTGTTTTAGATCCTGACAACATTTTTCATTCTAGCTTTAAAAATGCTAAACTGTATGTATGCACTTGAGTATCCAACAGTCGCTTACTTGAATAAATGGTTTCTTTCTACTTGGCTCTTGGTCTCTGCTCTTTTGCATTGTGCATAATTAAGAGATAGTAACTGGTGCGTGCTAAGCGTGTATCTCCTACTTTCTGTCCACATTTAATGGAGCTCCATATTAATTGCCCAACATTAAGGTTTAAAAAGTGTTCGTATAAAGAGGGTCACAAGGGGGCAAAATGGCACAGATAATGCTATGCAGAATGGACAACACAGGCAAGTTGTGCAAAACAGAAAAAAACCAGAAAATGTTTGGAGAGCTCGAAAGTAGACCAACTGCGACTGCTTTTGGCCAAATTCATGTCAATTGCATGAAGGCCAGGCCCATACGCACTCTCCATTTCCATTTCCCTTTGCGCTTTCCTTTTTGTTTTTTGTTTTTTGGCTTTAGGTCAAGTGAAAAGAACAACAACAACAAGCGGGACAAGAACAACCACAAACATGAAAAAGTAGGTTAACATGGGTTAAGGTGTGTCATTAACTTGCCACAAACACGCACTTTGGTGGTAAGGGCCGACATTGAGTCTACCCTGCGGCATTTTCTATTTCTTGTTTTATCTTTACTCCACATGCATGCACAGCACAAAAAAATCTACCAAAACTTGTATAGATTGCAGTGATAGACTAACATTTTTACGTCTGGTTTAAAAAAAAATTAAAAAAATTTAAAAAAAACAACTAAATTTTAAAGTTAAATCTCTTTAAAAGGTGTCCAAAAGTATGCAATAAAAAAATTCGTGACGTGTTTGGACTGGAACAAATACATTCTTCTAGATTTTAAATAATTTGTTGCCTACTTTTCCACACCTTTGTTTAGTGGAAATATTTTTTTTATATAGATTAATTTTTAAAAGATAAAGTCATAAAATATGGTTTTGATTTTGAACTTCCAATTCCTTTTAAACTTTAAAAGGTGGGATAGCAATTTGGACTTGCAGTTGTCAAAGTCAAAGAAAGCAAACTATGCTATATTATAAGCATTATAAAATAAAGGATTTGTTACCCCTAGCTGTATGTAAGCTTAATAATTATAAGCCACTCATTTTGTAGGTGTACTTCATAGGATATTTAACCACTGCCGGCGGCGGCTGCTCATTATGGATATTGTGCCAAGGGCGGCTGTTGCACACCTGCACTGCTGAGCAGATCCCCTGGCTGAACTAATTAGCAGCTAGGCGGCAAAGTCGAAGGCAGCTCCGCCTCAAGCTAAGCTGCACATTCTGCAGCAATGCCCTTGGTTGGGCGCCATCTCCAAATTGACACAAATTGGCATGAGCCGAGTACATCAGGGCAATCAGATTAGACGATGTCGTCGTCGCATCATGTGCGATGTGCTTATTCCATCCACCATCAACCACCCACAACCTCCATCGATTTTGCCTTTTCGCTCCAGAAGAAACAAAAAGAAAAACAAGCTACGCAACGTTTTTGCTCCTGATTTCAATCATGACGCACGGATTAGGACTCAGGTTAAAGATTAACAATGCCAAAATGGAGCGACAGACAAGGACAGGGCAGGATCCAAAAGGGATGCTCTCCAGCTAGTTAGACAATGGAGGTTTGCTCACGTCACGCCCACTATTAGTTGGAACGCTCCTGATGGATGGAATGGATTGGATAGGACCGTGAAGTGGAAGGAAACATAAGACGAAAAACCAAAGAGGAGCCAACTTTAAGAATGATAAAAGAAGACAACAACTAAAATAGGAACATAGTATAATAAAATGTATATGTATATATATAAATTCCTAGTCGAAAATGAACACAAAACATTATTATCAAATCGTTGCCCCTTAATGAAATCTTGGAAAAGCCTAATCACCTCTCAAGTTGAGTGCAAAAAGTGTGTAAAATATTTGATGAACGCACTCGAAAACCATGTGCTATAAAAGATAAGAACGGGAACGACGATTATGGCTTGCGAGTATCCCAAAGCTATTACCAGGACTTGAACAGAAGCCAATCCCAAACCCAACTCAAGATAAGGACAACAAAGACAGTCGAGGAATAACAATTAGTGCATACTTGTAGGCACCATGAGTAAATAACAACGAAGACGGGACAGAGCAGAGCAGAAAAAAGGACGAGTCCGTGCAATAATCACAGCCAAGAGCTGCATATTTATAGGCGCAATCAAGTTAATTGCACAAACAGCAGCACCAGATAACACAACAAAGGACTTCGACGAACGACGAACGAAGAACGACTACCTTCTTCATACTAATTAACTTAATTGTGGGTAGTCGGTAGTCGTCTGCTTGTGGCTCCTCTTCGCGCTGAAAGTAATTGCCACTCAAAAGTTTAGAGCATTCATTGCGAAATATTCATCTTTCATCTACGTTACGTATTCCACTTTCCACTTTCCTTCAAGGCCCTTGCACTTTCTTCTAAATAATATTTGCCTAGCTCTGGCCGGCCAAACTCTTTGCGGCCACTTGAAGGAATATTATGCGGAAAACAACTTGAGCTCGATTCATGATTTTCACTGAAAAGTTGCCTGAGAAATACCTACACTGAGAAAATCGTTAGGAATAACCTAGCATAAGGTTTGAAAACAAGTTCAGTTGGTCTATCTATACCTTTTGCTATACCAGAAATATACGCTGGAATACTGTTTAATTATTTGAATATACCAAACTATCGATGTTTGCTTAATTTTTTGATAATCGATATTATCGATAGTGCTCATCGATTGTTTACCAATTATACTTAATTTTACAAATGTTTTAACATTTTTCAATGTGTCTACAATTAGCAAAACCGAATTAATGAGAAAAGAGCGGTGTCTGGCAAAGCTCTTAACAAATCTCTTAATGCTGGGAAGCATTTCCATTTCAATTTCAATTTTATAGTTGTTTTTATTTTTGTTCAATGCATTCCATTCTAGAAGTGGACTTGCTACCGCCGCTCTGTGGTGAATTTCAATTATCTTTGTTGGAGCATCTATTGCTTGCATTTTTATTCCCATTCTCATTCTCAGGCTTTCCCTGTATTTCATTTTCACTTTGAGTTTTATGCATGAGACGCTGCCTAGTTTTTCATTCCGAAAGCCATGCCTATTTCGCTTTTCCACTACATGCTGCTACTCATTCCCATTCCCCATTCCCCATTCTCCATCTCAATCTCATTTTTGTTTGCTTTCCATCTTCTTCTTTTGGCGCTTGCCGGCCATTTACGCTGTAAATTGTTTGCATACAATAAGGCTACAGCGGGAGAGGTCTAGTTCGAAACCCCAGCCATTTGTTTTGGGTCTTAACTTTTGGTGCGGCTTATTTGTGCGGCCAGATTAAGTTTCAAATTGATGTGCGTTTTGAGTTGGCCAGGAAGCAGAAAAAGGAAATGGGAACCGGGACTCATAGTTTCCCTCCTCTGATAAGATGGAACTTCAGGTCTGTAAGCCGCATTGATGGCCAAACTTTAATTTGATCATTCTTTTCGGTGGCCATTGCTCTATTTTCAGAAAGAGCCGATAAGCTTGCTTTTACGGCTCGAAATCTGGGGAATTTCACACGGGAATGGCCCAGCTAATCTGCAGGGTTGGGCGAGCCTGCAAAAGGTCACGAAGCGAAAAGCAAAGTCTTGTGCGTTATTTGGCAGTGGAAATATGAGATGTTCCCGTTTAAGTGTGACCTTGCTATGCAGCGGAATAAGTAAAAAAGAATGAAGTATGCACTTGCTTTTAACACA